CTGTCTTGCCGACACGTCCTCATTGGACGTAAGGAGGCCAATGTTGATTATGTTTGCCACCCCGGTGGACTTCTTCAAGACGTCCTTTTGTTTGGGAAGAGATCTTATGCCAACCTCGTTCAGTCGATTAAAACCAGAATTGCAGAGCACAGCATCTGGGTCGAGCGCTGGGAGGAGTGGCAGAAGGATCCTGGCAATGAAAATGACAAATATCAGTCAAAAATCGAGAGTTCGCTGGAGGCGATGGAGGCACTCGGAGCGTTGTATGAGCAGGTTAACAAGAATTGGAAAAGATTCGACAATCGCATTATTGGTCACATCATCCGCTCTCCAGCCCTCCGCCTCGGTGTCGGTGAACAGCGCTTCACGGAGGACTGGGGAATATTCAGCATTGACCGAACCAAGCTCGGTGACGGCTTCCAGGGCAACAAGATAGATCTCGGTGCGTTCCGTTTTTGAGTATCCGACCAAGGCTACATACTAATATTACTGATACCTAGGACCAAAGGGAGGACCCGATAACTTCTACATTCGGTGTTTTTCTGACAATTGGCAGTTTGTACATGATCCTATAGATCGCGTGCTTCCCCTCGAAGGTATCATCCCTGACAGCTTGATGCACACCCCTGACATGTGGGACGTGAATCACGAACCATCCTTGGTAGTTGTCAAGAATGGTAATGCCACGGGCACCACTTATGGTCGTGCAAACGGCCCTTTTTCTATCGTTCGTACGTACTTCCTAGATATGTCGATCCACCAAACCTCCATGGAGTGGGGGATCATGAACTATGGTTTTAAGGATGGAGTCTTTTCGGAACCTGGTGATTCAGGTTCGATAATTGCTGACTTGCGTGGCCGTATTGGTGGCATGATTACTGGTGGTGCTGGCCATACAAAGGGTTCTGACTTGACTTATGCCACGCCATTCTGGTGGCTCCTTGAGCGTATCAAGGCCAATGGGTTCCCCGACGTGCACCTTGGCGTTGTTGTCTAGGCATTTCAGCATTTTTACATCGCTGTGAGGCCTTGACTACATATCTTTATTGAGTATATATTATATATAACAAGAACAATGTACAATTAAATAAATGACTGGTAGGGGGAGGGAAGCAAAACATAATATGTATTAGTTGACGGGTTTCGATATCGATGGAAGAACCAAGCCCTGGCACTTTCTTAGGCAAAAATTATCATTCTTTCTATGAAGACAATTGAATACAAGCGAGCGCGAGGAGCCTACGGCCGATGGCTACATCGTGCAGTTCAAGGTCTTCGACTGGAGATTTGACTCCTACTACAGGTTTATACACCTCTTCACCTTCTTCATCCTCCTCTCACCCTGTTCTGCATTGCGCTGCTCCCACGAGTCAGCCGCCGAGGAAGAATGGTTCAAATTCGAGAGCCAATGTTCCTCCCTTTTCGCATAAGAGGAAGGCCAGAGAACTGGACCAGGGTCAACGAAGGTCATGCCATTATCCTCGTAGACGTTGTATCTAGCGAAAGCACCGTTCGTTGCGTATAAGCTATTGAAGAGAGAACAGGAATAGCTCAGAATTTATTTTTTATGCATGAGCAGCGAAGACTTACGATCCGGCTCTCGTTCCCCCGGGCAGTTTCGTGTTACCACCATTTATAACATTGATCTGAATGCAACCAATATATAGCTGAGTGCCAGAGGTATCATCTTGAGCATTCCAAGGATTGTGGATCGCTCCCACCTAGAACAAAAAGGTTGTGAGGACTTATTCACATCTACAAGGACACCTACTTCTTGGCGAATGATATATTGTCCATTGGCAAGACCTTTTGGTATGGTGACAGTCCAGGAGGAGCTGGCCTCGACTATGATACGAGAATCAAGGCGACTAAATTCTATGTCCTCGATAAAGGACGGAATCAAAACCTACTAAATCGAGCCATGCCCCAAAGACCGCTGGTTCCAGGCGTGGGGTAGTATTCTTCAGGCTTGTTCTTCATCGTCTCGCGTAGACCACTTGATATAGTTTCCGATTTATCAATTCCGAACATAGCGAGCTTAACCCAGGAGCCTTGAGAGGCATCATAGGTAGTGCAGTCATCGTTGGTGCATTTGGCGATGTAGGACGCCATGGTACCCATCCTTTGTGAATTGAACAACAGGCATTAAGACATATTGAGCGAACGGGGGAACTCAATACTAACGCGTGGACCCAAGGGTTTTGACCTGCCGGAACGTTCCCAGTCCCTGGCTTGCCATCGAGCTCGCTGGTCGCTCCAACCCAGTCGACCCTCAAATCACTGCCTGCAGAGACGTTGATGATTTTGGGTGCACCTGCAGCACCTTCGCAAGCCATTTTACTGTCATCAGAATGAGGGTAAAATAGTAAGGATTAGTTCTTAATCAGAGACGACTCGACCGTACGAGTTATCAGAGAAGTCCTGAGGGAGTACATAAGATGGGCCTGCAGCTTGGTACATTTTTCTAGTGGCAGTCTGTTCGTTCACGGGGTCTGCATCCCAGTAGATCTTTCAGAAAAAAATTGCCAGTCGTCAGAATATAGGAATGGATCAGAACAGAAGAGCCTACGTTAGGACCGTCGTTGTAAATACCGTTCGCCAGTACGCCTTTGATTTGCCCGTGTGCATTGGCCTTATTGAGAGCGATAATCGACGCCAGTGTGAGTACACCGAAGTGAGAAGGCTTGTTGAAGGTGACCATGTCTGAGGTACAGTGGGTCAGAGAAAGTGGTGGGATCGATACTGCTGCAGGACAGGCCTGGAAAGAGAGAATAAGACTGGAAAAGAGAGAAAACGAAGGAAACTGATAAGCCTACAGGTTTTTGTTATGTATTTATATTCACCAACTAAGCCATTCTGAACTACATCTTCATCATGTCCGTGGAGGAGCCTGAGGATCCAAGTTACAGTATCACCTCAACAACAGCTTGAAAGAAGCTACGAGTACGTAAAGGAGGTTCTCGAATGAAGACTATAACCGATAGGACTTGCAAGTAACACTGAGCTGCACAGGCAGCTCCTGTATCGTTACTATATGACTATATGTTAATGCCCACCTTGCTTTATCGGCGGTGGTAGGTGGAGGCGGTCGGAGGAAGAGGCGTATATAGGTTCTGTCCGGTTAAGGTTTCCTTGGTAACAACGACGAGCGGGGCTTGAGGATGGAAGGTGAAGGGTGTCAGGAGAGAGGAGGACTGACATCGGATCCTCTACCGTCTTCAATCGGAGAAGTCGGAACTCGAAGAAAGGGACAGTAACAGACGGTAACCTTTGTCGACACGATGAACAGCCAGTGCCCAGAGTCAGCTACATAGGAGCTCCAAAAGCAACGCTTCTCGGAGCCGACCCTGCGCCGCAACTGCCACATGTCGGGGCAAGTAGATCGGTCTTGAGTCTTCAGATCTGTCTCTGGAATTCATATGGCCACAAAATGATAGAAGATGATGTGTTGTTAACAGCAGGTTGTCGAATAATTTCCGCGGGAGGACTGGACTATCTCTGGGACGCACATGGAGATAAGGACGTTCTATAGATGATGGATAAAGTAGTGTCTAATCGTAGTATAACGGCGAAAACAAGTGCATTCTGGAAGTTGAACTAAATCACCACCGATGAACTTCCGTTAGTGAACCTGATCTGAAGATGGGAAGGCAGCGACACACAGTGTTCTTTTAGTATATAGAACCAATCATTGGTCGTATTCACGCGCTCTTTTTCCCAACTTCTGCTCCGAACTCAGCAACAGTCTCCAGCGACTGAATCTTAGTCTGACGAGCGTTGGCCACACTAAGATAAGTATCTGAAAAAAAGCTCATGTTACACGTGCAAGGGGATACGAGCCGAGAGACACGTACTCCAGAACAAACTGACAACACTGACAACGACGAATCGGAGATGGTGGGGTATAAGCGCGAAGTTGATAATTTGAGTTGGGACAAATACGCCCCAGTTGCGGATAATGGTAGGGACATAAGCCTAATTATGGGGAAGGATGAATGAGGTTGACATGTCGTAGATTATTCACGACTCACAGCCTGGATCCTCGGTATGGCTTCCTTGGGTTTACCCTCCAATATGCTCATAGAGCCGAAAAAGAATCCGACCGCCGCTATAGGACAGTAAGTATAATAAGGCGATTGGGCGTTGAAGAATGTAAGTGCTCACCTGGCGTAAGCACGGCCTGATCGAGGAACACCTGAAAAGTTCAGAAAGCATGAGCGAGTTTGTTGACTCGACGAGAACATTGAGTACACACCCGGTATACGACTGCCTTGGTCGGGCTAGAGAATTTGATCGTGTTCAACCATTGGTACCATTTTGTCATAATCGGTCCAAAGAGGGCACCTGGAGGAAGAATTTTTTGTAAATATCAAGGGGGGGAAATTCATACTTGGAGCAACAGCAGTGCACTGGCAATGGGCATGAAGGATATCACATACCGCCGTAAAATGTCAATCTCGCGGTTCTTGCAAACTAAAGGGCATCCAGGAATAAGCATCGAAATCAAATGCACAAAACTATTTATTTTTGCCCAGCATTTACAAAGAACAGATATAAGATGAATCGTGAAGCTCTAGGCAACTTACGTCGTGATTCTTTCCCTTTGCTTCAACGCCTTGCTGGGCAACAATATCACCAGCACCAAACAGGAACGCGGCGGTACAGCACTGAGTGAACATCGGCCTGCGTTGCAGGGCTACGCTGCAATTTTTGAAGAATCAGAGAAAGTCAACAGTTAAAGTGCGAAGATATACACACTTGTACATTCTAAGCATGGATGCCATTTTACGCGATGGGTAGAACGAGAGATTCCTGAGCTTTATTAATTCTCTGAATACTTCTGGATCGGTACAGAAAAAGTGTAAAAAAACACGTCAAGGAAAACGCTACGTGGTTGACCGCAAGAAAACTTCGGTAAATACAAGTGCAAAGTGGAGCCCCAACTAGTGGTCTGTGCGCATCATTACGCTCATAGTTCCTCTGACAGCCGGAAGCTACATGGGCGTATGGTCTAGAGGTATGATACCTGCTTTGGGTTCTATAGTATCCTTTGCAGGGGGTCTTCGGTTCGAATCCGGATTCGCCCCATAGTTTTTTCCCCCACTGGCTCCCGACTGACTTATACTTTCACTGCGCGTAGGCATTTCTACTCATCACAGCGGGTTCGGAAAATGATGACAATCGCGATGTTTTTTTGAATCATCACCCAATGACGGGAACATGCGTTGTTTATGCAACGGTCAATTTCTACGTTCACAAGCAACGAACACAACGCCCCGATGACATTATGCACTAGCTAACATTTCCGGCGCAATCCTTTGCTCAACTAAATTCAACTTGTTCACCCAACTATCCAGCCTTTTCGCTAATCCACCAATTTGCTGTCGGGACAACACTCGAGGCTGGACCCAGGTGATTTGAGCTTTCTGGTCTACTTGGTCCATGGAACCGCGAATGAGTTTCAAACTGCGAGCACAGATACATTCAGTTTTGATCCGGTTTTTTGGCAAACAAGATCGAAGATCAGGAAGGATCGAGTCAAGAAACGGCGCTCACCTTAGAGCTTTCATAACCAGATGCTCCACTTCATCGATTGGTAGCCTTGTCTCCTCCGCAATAGTGGTAAAGTTCATTGTACGATTATCCGCACTTCGTTTGAATACAGACTCGATGAGCGCCATGAGACAGATTTTTTGTCGGAGGAACGGATAATTTTCTTGGAGTATTGGCTGATCGTTTCGGTGAGAGGAATACGGAGCAAGAGAGAACAGTAATGTCAATCATGCCGGCACGGATGAATAAAAAGAGATGCGTTTTGCACACGCAGGAATGGGGTATCAATAAATGAAGTAAAACCTACCTCTTGAGGAAGCAGCGGCGCGAGGGCCTCAAACTTGCCAATACTACCCTCGTTGAAAGTAAAGAGCAGTCTCTTGATCCATTCAAATGGTGTCCCATCCAGAGCGTCGAGAATGGGATGCATGAGCTGGAATGCAATTCATTGAACATCATGAAAAGGATACCGAAAGGATCGATCTCACCAATTCTCCAAAGTTATAAATCGTATCACCCAACAACGCGGAAATTCCCAGATCGTGCGCGCGTCCTAATCGCTCCTCTACTGTCATATCTGTGGCCGGGTCTACACATGCAAGGTAGAGGAGGGAGTTGCGATAGTAGGGCGCGTATTCTGCTTTGGCCTTGGGGGTATCAAAATTTTAGGTACTTAGATCGAAATGAACGAGCGAGCGCAGGCAAACTAGATATGAACCTTGTAATAGTCGGCTGCAACACCGTAATACGCCGCATTCACTCCATTCTCAACACTCTCCACACTATCGAGGATCTTCCAGGCCTCGTCCATGTCGGCCTTGGTTCCCTCGAGGTCTCCATAAAGTAACTTAGCATGAGCAATATTGGCGTAAAGGAGAATGTATGCTTCTGGTGAGGTTTCCTTGTTGATCCGAGTGAGAAGAGAAGTAAGGAAGGTTAGGTGGGTTTGAGGGTCTGCAATTGAAGATACATAAGAGATATCGTGATAGCACTATCACGAGAACGCACTATCAATCTCCTTTGAGACCTTAACACCTAACTCAACCAACCGAAGCTGGTTCATCTTCGATTCGAAATCGGTAACGAACCGCTCGAATACATCAACTCGAAATGGTTTCGACAGTGGGTGTTCGACGAATGCGAACAGCTTGAGAGTTAGTTGATGCCATAGCCTGAGTGTAAGGATGAAGTTGAGTCTATGGCTTGTGAAGCACGTATTTTCAAGCTCACTTTCGCGTATGCAGCGTTCTAAAGGACTCAAAGAACGGATGTAGTTCTTGAGGTGTTGAGGATATTGCGGTTCCGATGAATTCATCAAGAACGAGTTTTGGAGCTGGTGGGTGTGCGTCCACGGCCATTGAAGAAGTAGACATTTTCCACTAGAGAATGCGGAGTATATGAGAGAGATAATGTGATAGAAAACTCGCGACGCGTCACTGAGCAAGTAAACAAGACCAAACGACTGAGGACCAGGTCAAAGCGTAGCTTTCTAATCCGTATGTTCATTGTTACTCACTTGTAGCTGGAAGCTTGATTTAGAGCTTTCACCGTGTGCATACAACCAATATTCTTTGTGTGCCACGAGAGTACATCTACGACTGCGAAATTGGATTTATGAATGTGCAGTTGGGAAAGTCATCTAAATTTTTATATCTACCATATCGGAAGGCTTATCTGCCTTCCCGTCGTGGTTAACTAAGACTGCAATATACCGAGTCTGGCAAGCCAGAATTCGCCACGAATGAAAGAAATTCGAACACCCATTGGAACTAACACTGTACATGTCGAGGGCTCTTGGATTTCCGACCCTTGAACACGACTTGTACACATTGCATACACGAGGTTGTTGTTAGAATATTTTTCTGTTCATTTCTACTGCCGCAAGCCCTGCGCGAGCTCATTTGTATCTCCGCGTAGCTGTAAAACTGTACAGTTCTACTTGCATTTTGAATAAATACTCAGAAATGATTGAGTGTGAGACGTTTTCTTGATAAATACCTCTTTCGGTAACCACCACTATCCACGGGAAATTCGGAAAAACGTGCTCAGTGACTTACCCTTCACCCAGCTCTTCATCTTGTCCAGCAGCCCAATTTTCAGCAACCAATATTCAATTTAGGCAACTCGATATTAAACTATCCGAACTTGGCAGATCTCTAACGGACTTTGTGGAATCCGAGCCGTGAACAGTGATTATCTAGTCGACGTCAGAACTATCAGAGGATAATGACTACGACGGCGTCGACGGCAGTCACGCTTACCCAGGACTCGACGTCGTCCCCTTTGCCCAAATTCAAGGCACCCTCAGTCGAAACATTTTCATTCAAAGCACCCTTGTTACCCGCATCTTCCATTGCAGCCGCTGGATCTTCGAAACAAAGACGTGTCTCCCTTGCTCTGCCGTCTTCGCCTCGAGTAGTGCCAACCTCCGCCTGGACTTTCCGTGACGACACTGGTCTCGAAGAGAAGAAGGGAAAGCTGCGGAAGATCGTCACTGACGGCGATGAAGAGTCTCATGAAAGGAAGCTCAGAAAGAAATGGTCTCAAGAAGAGACTCAAATGCTTGTAGATGGCTGTAATAGGGTACACACATTTAATCTTGCTTCATTTTCAGTTTATTGATAGGGCTGTTCTCTAGCACGGAGTCGGAAATTGGAAGACTATTCTTAGTGATCCCACCTTGCAATTCGACAATAGATCTCCTGTGGACTTGAAGGACCGGTATGTCCGAGCTTTACTACACTATGCAAATAATTAATTTCATTTACAGCTTCCGTACATATTTCCCGGATGCCTACAAACAGCATTATCCCAATGCCCGCACACACCTTTCCACTAAGATACGCTCAACGCTTCCGGATGGTTCCTCTCTATTCGAAAAGACGCGGTCAAAGAAACGCCGACCCTTTACAGAGGAAGAGGACCGGGCATTAAAAGCTGGTTACGAGAAACATGGCACCGTCTGGGCAACGATCGTTAAAGACCCAATATTCCAAGAACAGAACCGACGCTCAACGGATTTACGAGATCGTTTCAGGAATGCATTTCCTGAACTTTATCAAGCTGCGGGTTACAAACCCCGGACGGCTGTGAAAAAGAAGATAGTCCCGACTGTTAGTAGTACGGCAGCGACGGCAGCTTCGACACCAGTCTTCACTTCAGGTCCCAGTACTCCTGCTACTTCCCCAAAAAAGCAACTGATCCGTGCAGCGACCGATGATCAACTGGCAATGTCCACAACTGGTCCCGTCCGTATTCAGACCCGACGTCGTCGACGAAATACCTCCCAGGGCATCTTCCGTGGTGGAACGAAAAGCGTACCGCAGAGTAATGCTCCTTCTGAAGATGAAATGAGTTCTGGAGGGGAAGATGACGACGGGGTAGTTAAACCCATGCGTGTAACACGCTCGATCAGCAATTCTCTCTCTTCTTCCAATCTTCTTGGCTGGGGTCATAAACCTTCGCCATCATCTTTTTCTTCATTTTCCTCTTCTCCTGTGACATCAACAACAGCTACGGACGACGAAGTTGATAACGTTGCCGAAGTTACCGATATGATGGATACTTCTCTTGGGGACTATGGCTATGACTTTGCCGTACCTCAGAATAGCAATGGCGACGGTGACGCCGGGAATAGCCATGTCGGTCTTACCACGATGATTGGCAAGTCAGCCTGGGGAACACAGGACTGGTTCTCCCCCAATCCTCGATTGGACAATAGTACCAATCACCCTGCCGGCGACAACACTTCATCGTCTTCCACTTTTATGGAGGGCGGAGTAGGAAACTTGTCACCGTCGTCCCCTTTCTCCACATTCAGCTCGCCCCCATCATTTTCTTTACAAACTCTGAATTCACTCAACTCTGATCTATTGAACCCAATAAATGGGCTCCATAATTTCAATTTCGCAAGCAACAATGATTCTAACGAGCATCATGGACACGGCGTATTCGACCGGTACGATCTCGTTCCTCCGATTGCCTCTAACCTTTTTCACTCCTACTCCCACTCGCACACGAACTCGTTCTCCTCTTCATCATCGTATACCCCTTACGCGTTTTCTTCTGACATCGGTCTCGGAGACGACTACGATTCGCGGTCGGCGTTCTCAGATGAGTGGGCCTCCTCAGGTGTGGGAGGTGGTGCAATGAGCAGCAGCATGAGCATGGATGGAGGTATAGGAATAGGTGGTAACGGTGGAAGAGGGTTCACTCATCACTCTGATTATGCGGGTGATTTGATTTTCAGCGCGAGGACGCACCAGCCAGTGCAACCGTTCGCACAACAGGGTCTTGGCTTGGGCCTTTCGGGAATGGGCATGCCAGATATCCCTCAAAGCTCAGGTATCCATCCTCTTCAACTGCACACGCATACCCCCGTATTATCTGCTTTACCTGGCATAGACGAGATTGAACTCACTGGGATCACATTGGAGGACTCGGTCATGACTGAATCCTCTCCGGATCTGGATGTTGGTATCATGGACATGTCGTCCCCGTCGTCGTCGGCTTCAAATACCCAACAGGATATGCT